CCTAGAAATTCCTGGAACTGAGTTATAAGTCTTCCAGCAAACCCCGCCCACTTTTGTGCATGCCTTCCCATCAGTTTAAATTGACTTTCCTTCTCCATCTTCTATGCTTTGTCCACTTTTCCGGTCTCCATGACTTCTTGAAACCGAGTATAAGGTTTCGTAGATAACTCCACTGATTTCGGTGCATCCCCCACTCACCAAGAACGGCTGACCTTCTTTCCCTTGCCAAATTTTACCCACCTTTTGCCCAATGTCCAAGACTTCTCGGAATCGAATCAAGGGTAGTTATGGGGACACTCTTCAGGGCGCGCTCCGTCTGGGCAGGCCTCCGCCCACGTCATGTATGCTGGGAAACACCTTAGACATTGCTCCCTTACACCAATTGTTTTCTGCTCTGTAGGCTTTCTCCCAACCGAGTTATGAAATTTTTCATAAAGCACTGCTTTTTTAGAGAACGCCCCGCCCACCGGGGGTGGGTCTCCCTAATTCGATGTGGCTTACCAATGCACACCTTTACCCACTTTTTGGCCCAGTTTCGAGGCTGTTTTGTAACTGAATTTGAAATCTGGTCGTCAGTACAGCTCATTTCGATGCACGCCCACTGTGAGGCGGATCTCCGCTTATGGTTGGCTGATGTGTATTTGTGCTTCTCGAGTCATGACCTACCCACATCACACTTGACTCTTTCTCTTCAGACGGATCTCCAAAGGCTAGCGAATTATGTGCTACACACAGACAGAGAGAGAGACAGACAGGCGAAGTGCTTTATAGTAGGTAGGGTCAGAATACTGTCACTGGGATGTTCTGGAACTGAATTCACATTGAAATTCAAATTTACTACACGAACACATGTGAATTGAAACTAATTTTGCGGGAGGTATCAAACGAAATGAAAATGTGCACAACGCAACTAAAAGGGAAAAGTAAAGTATTTTTAGTAAGTAGAGATTATTTGAACATATGTGGGTAACGAGAAACTACCTTCTTGAAACTACCCAGTGTGTACCAGCAACGACTGCGAGGCTGAAACCTTCAGCAATGATTCGACATTTCTTCACCAAAACTGCCTATTTAGATGCATGTCGGCCCAATGTGGACGGAGTTTCTTATTTCCCATGTGTGGAGCGGCACGTGCTCCACCTGCTTTGACCTTGACCCGCCCTCGTTAGGCTATTTCTCAAACAACAATTACAAACGTGTGACGGACACTTGTGAATTTGTAGGGAGCGAACCGACAAAAATCTCTGACTTATTTGAAAAGCAATAAGCGGACTCATGCTTACCCATCTCCTCATTTTCCCTGGTCTTGTAATGCTTTGGAAGCGAATTGAACTATTACAAAATTTTTTTCGTTGGCTTCGCCTAGTTGGGCGTGTGGGGCTAAGGCAGCCATACGCACCCCTCATAGCCTAACAAAAGAGGTAACATCACGGTTGGGGTGCACCAAGGGTCAGCTCTGAGCCCGTTCCTCTTCCTCCTAACACTAGATGTCATGGTGAAGGGGCTCATGGAAGGACCACTGAAGACCATCCTCTACGCTGACGACATCGCCCTGATAGCGGATAGCAGAGAGGAACTACAGGCCAAGGTGCAGAAATGGCAGAAGGTCCTGGCAGAAGGTGGGCTCCGGCTGAATGTCAAGAAGACCAAGTTCCTGAGCTCCGAAGAGGGTGCAGAGCCGATCGTGGACGGCCATGGTGAAAGCATCGAAAGAGTGGAGGACTTCCGATACCTTGGGAGCGATCTGGCAGCCGACGGCAGTGTGGATCAGGCAGTAAAGGCACGAATCAACGCGGCCTGGATGAAGTGGAGGGAGTCCACTGGGATCCTCTGCGATCGAAGGTGCTCCAGAACAATAGAAAGGAAGGTGTATCAGGCAGTGGTAAGGCTGCGATGCTATACGGCAGCGAATGTTGGACGCCGATTACGAATCGCCAAGATGATGTTGAAATGAGTCTGCGTTAGGACGCGACTGGGCAGGGTCAGGAACGAGGATGTCAGAGCGGTCATGCAGACTGCCCCTGTCCAGCTGAAGGTGAGGGAGCAACGACTGCGATGGTATGGAACGTGCTAAGGAGGCCACAGGGCCACCCGATAAGGGAAGCGGTGAGACTTCAGGGCAAGGCAAGCGACCGCGACCTCCCCCTCTCCAGGGAAGAGGTGGAGGGACGTATCAAGAAGGACCTAAGTGAAGTCATGGCCACAGCAGAAGATGCCCTGGACAGAACAAAGTGGCGACGACTGATAAAGACAGCGGACTTCACGACTGCGCGGGACTAACGCTAGAGGAGAAGAAGACTGATAGAACCTCAACACTAACTGACTTTGTCCCTGTCAATCACCGTGATCAAGGAGTCGAGACAGACGCAAAGATCCCTACTATATATAAAACGCTATGTCTGTCTGTACGTGTGTGTGTGTGTCACGAAATTCATAGCACGCGTCGCAGCAGTCGTTAGGAGCTGATTTTTTGATATGATATAGGGGGGGCGGGAACATATTTGGTGGGGGTCACAAAGTGATAACGACTGATAAGAGCAGATAAGAGGCGCTGAAACACAAATTTCACGAAATTCATAGTGCGCTTCGCAGCAGTCGTCAGGAGCTGATTTTGGGACATGATATAGGGGGTGGGACGGGAACATATTTGGTGGGGGTCACAAAGTGATAACGACTGATAAGAGCAGATAAGAGGCGCTGAAACACAAATTTCACGAAATTCATAGTGCGCTTCGCAGCAGTCGTCAGGAGCTGATTTTGGGACATGATATAGGGGGTGGGACGGGAACATATTTGGTGGGGGTCACAAAGTGATAACGACTGATAAGAGCAGATAAGGGGCGCTGAAACACAAATTTCACGAAATATATAGTGCGCTTCGCAGCAGTCGTCAGGAACTGATTTTGGGACATGATATGGGGGTGGACGGTAACATATTTTGTGGGGGTCAAAAAGTGATAACGACAGATGAGGACTGATAATTACGATATGCGTACGAACGTAGAGATTACTCGAAACCAGATTGCAGATAATGCATTTCATTTCAATATCATTTCATTAGCGTTATAATTGTAAACTCAAACACCTTTCGACCGCTACACCTTCTAGAGTTCTTGAGGATGAATGGGATGCTCGAATAAATATGATAATGAATACTGGGCATTCCGTTTTGAGATATTCGACCGCTAAATTACCTCGATACTCGACGCATAGTGGTTGTTTACATCATCACTTTAGCTGTGCACTTCACTGCGCTTATCAAACAGTGAGATACAGCCAAGATGGCAACGGACAGTAATGCATTTAACGAAGCAGCTATAGTTAAGCGGTGAAACCCAAAGCTTCACCGATTGTCAGTTCTATCAAAGGCTTCCGTGTCATGCGCGCGGTAGCGGGCGGAGCTAAACTGGTTCTACCATATGAGGCCGCCGCAATATTGTCCCTGATTTGCACGCTGAAAATGACTCCTCTAAAACTTACTGGAAGGCAGAATTCAAGATGAAAAACCAACCCATTTCAAATTAGGTTAAGGATGGTGAGTGGTACACGAAAGAAGGAAAAACCATGAGAAACGGCCCAGAAATGGGACCCCTTCCTTGCCCGTTGATTTCCGCATTGATGCGACTCTCATCGCTGTGCCCTCTTCAACGCTAACGCTCTCTCTGCTATCTAATCACTCGCCGCGTATAGACCTGCGGCGAGTGATTAGATAGTCGGTGGGCGTACCCCGCCAACCGCGCCAAGAGTGAGCCATGCTAGATCGCCGAGGTCAAATCTTTCGCTGCCAATTGCGTGTCAGTCGCACCCTCAGGAGGTCCGCCTGTCTCTCCGTTAGGCAATTTTCCCCTCCTTCGACCTTCGTTTTCGATGTGGAATCCTTTTCCAAGTGAA